AGAGAGAGAGAGAGAGAGAGAGAGAGAGAGAGGAACCTGTGTAAGAAGGCCACCCATTGTCAAGGAGACAAGCGGCCGTATAAGACAGGTGGCCAACATACCCAGGACTGACCCAAATGAACAAGACAAACCGTTTACTTATGAGGTCTCAACTGGAGGTGGTCGCAGGCTTAGGACTGGCGTAAGGCTAGCGAAAATGTTGCTTTTTCTTTTAAAAGGGAGGAGGGGATAGTGAGGTTTTTGTGGGATTTTTTTGTGTTTGATTTGTCAAAATGAAGGTTAGGTTAAAACAAAAAAATGTTTCAGATACGAAAGACCGAGTGCCGTAGTAAAAGAAACAAATGGGTGGCCACAACTCGGCGAACGAGCAACACTTTTGTCGCGAGTTCGTGTTGACTTCCACTGTTCTGGACTGGGTAAACAGTGACCGCTTATCTCACTCACAGTTTGTGCAGGAGTTGTGGGCGGGGCTTAGAGCTTACGGCTGACCACACGCTTCCCTCACCAGCAGCTGAACATATCTTGTCACCAACTGGTCAACTTGGGGAAACAGTGAGAGCGACCTCAGCAACACGATCCGTTCATTCATTGGAGGGACAGACGATAAGCACAGGTGACTATCTATCTACCTAATTATCGATCTATCTATCGATCTATCTATCTATCGATCGATCTACATGGCTTCACTCACCAGTAAACTGCTCCCTGGCTGTGTTCCCACCGAGGGCTATGCTGAAATCTTTCCCGTCTCCACCCGCCCCGCGGTTGATAGGCCGAAAACCAAAACTGGAACCTGAGGAAATACATTGAATAGAATCGTTTTTCCACAACCCCCCATCCCCCCTCCCATTCACACAATTTGCATTCTATTGGGAGGTGGGCTTCCTACCCTAGCAGACAAGGACAACCTGGCAGACAAGGACAACCTGGCAGACAAGGACAACCTGGAAGACAAGGACAACCTGGAAGACAAGGACAACCTGGCAGACAAGGACAACCTGGCAGACAAGGAACAAAACATCACAGCACAAAGATCACAACACTCAACAAAAGTTCTCCCCATTGCGCAATCCATCCAGCAATTTTGGGAAGGGGGAAAAGTACTTCAACTTCTACATGGTATATGGTACTTTTCCTCTAAATGTGTTCTCAAGAAGGAGATATTATAATTTGTCTTTGAGCAGTACCTCCGTCAGTGGAGATAGTATAATTTGTCTTTGAGCAGTACCTCCGTCAGTGGAGATAGTATAATTTGTCTTTGAGCAGTACCTCCGTCAGTGGAGATAGTATAAT